AGGGAATCGAACCTGGGACCTCAGAGATGACGACACTTTGAAATTGGCGCACAAACCTTGGCTACAAGTCATCTAAATGGCTCATATGTAATTCTTCTTATGTTCAAAATGAAATTTCTTCAGGTATGTCGCCTACCTTTTTTACTTCGACCTATTTATTGATAAGAGCATATGTGTGGAGCCGCCATAAAATGGCGAATTAGGCGTGCGCTTAATTGATTTTATCCATTAAATTATAGAATTGACACCCATAGTGATACAGTTTAAAATAATGTTTATGAATTAATAAATTAAATTAACAGTTATAGAGAGGTCAATACTGTTTTTATTTCTTATTCTTTAATTTATTTCTAACTAGTTCTCCGCAGGCAGTTTCGCCCGCGTGCCTGTGTTATACATATGAACCTTCCCCTTGAAGCAATCTATATACGAGTATTTATGAAAATCACAGCTAAATCCGTAGTTTAAAAGATCTCAACGTATAAACAACGGAGAATAACTTTGTTTTATACTATGTCGAGATTAAGCTGATCAATTGACTGTATAATCGTTATCCTTATTATATTGACTTTGCTGTTTTACTGCTACTTTGCCTATGTCATGCGCGTATGCTGTAGTTTGAAATATTTTTTAATATTGGTCCAATAAATTTGGAGCCTATTCAATGCATAAACAGTTTACGGGGCGTGAAGTTAATTTTGTTGTTCCATATTTATCTTAACATTTCAGGCGGGTAACACAATCCTTATGGAAATTTGAATGTTTTGGGAAAAAATACGTCGTACATTTATTTTGCTTACCATTATGCTTACCAAGAATGATCTTCACTTAATTTAAAATTACTATTTAGGATTAAAATGGTTCCGTATCCATGGAAAAAACGGGTCCCTATTATTCAGTTGTCTGTTAACTTGTCACCGGGCTATCTCATGAACTGTGATAGCTAGACAATTGAAATTTTCTTATATGTTGTTTTATAAAAACAGTATATCATACATATTTAATGGATAGCGCATATACGTCGTATGTATATACGTTATTTTTATTGGGTTTTGAATGAAATCCTCTGTTCGCGTGTTCACACTTGGTTGTTTTTTTTTATATTATTCGCGCTATAATGGATAGCTGTCTTATATAGTTAATAGGTATTCGCTTTGATTAAATACAGATATATAAGTAACTAATTATTCATTATTTTAAAGACTTAAAGCTTGTTTTCTTACTAGGTCTAATATTCATATTATTAATTGCGTCCACTTTAAAATAGTAGATGTACTCTAATGTCATTTTATAACTCTGACAAGTAAGTATATACATTTAAGCTTTTATTCTCTAGTCAAAACCGTACATCCGCCTGTTTGTACGGATGAGACGAGACGCATCTTCCTTCAGACGTGCACCTACCCTTATATTTCTCTTACATTATTTAACAGTATTTTTTAATCAATAGTAGTAGTAGTTAATCAATAGTTCTTTGAGAATCGTCGCAGTCTAATACAAATAAAATGAGTTAGTCATAAAGCAATACAGTCACTCTAAAGGGGTCTAAAATAACATGCGAGCAAGAAACTCGTGCCCAATATATGGCGTAAGAAATTGAAGTGCTACATAACAAGCTACGAACCATCTACGGCGCTACACGGGTCATCAGTGTGCATGTACTCGTAGCGCGCGCTCGCTCGCTTCGTAGCCGCCGTCGTTTCAGTAATACGTTCCTAACTCAATTTCAATAAGGCGCTCGGTTTATTCCGTCTTGGGGCCGCACACTCTTTAATCTGGCCCATAAATTGATCTAAATTGTTTTCCGATTCGTATGTTATTGCTATAGGAGAATATACGTTAGAAATTATTGATTTCCTAATAAAATCGTGATATACAGACAATTACATGTTTCTTTTCTGTTTATTAATAATAAAAAAAAAAAATTTCATCATTTTGACTTTGCAATTGTTTTAGAAACGGTCTGAGATTGATTAAGTGAAGAACTGATTTTTTTTTACAAATATTATCTTGGAATATCGAGTCAGATTTTTATCTTGGAATATTGAAACTCCAATTTTTACAATTTCAATTTCAATCACAATCATAATATTATTAACTATTGAATAAACAATCACCACGTAATTATACTGATTTCGTTCATATACATAATCGAATCTTTTGGTTTTTTTTTATCTGTTGATGTTGTATTTGTACTTTTTATCAAATATATAAAGTGGATATTAGGCTATCTTGGACGCAATTTATGGACGCTTTCTACGCCATGAATATTTTAAGAGAATTCTGCCGAACTTAAAATTTATTTAATCCGATAATTAGTCGAAAATGACAAAAAATATATTTAGTTGTTCTAAGTATGGTTTATATTTAAATCTTAAATAAAATGCGTCGGTTATTGAGTTTGAGTCTTTTAGACCTTGAGTTTTGTGGAAAGATTAATTAGGTTCTAATTTGGGTAGATTTAAAATCGACCTTTTTTTGTGAAAATATAATGCTATATGTAATTTATGAATTTTGTCATCTCAATGTATATTTTTTAGCATTTTCTATTTAGATGTAAAACATCAGTGTAGAATAATTATCGAACCATTATTTTGTTCATCAAAATTCATACTTTTAGTATTTCGACGTAAGATAACTTGTTTCTATAAACTTGGGTCGTAATTTCTTCGGGAGTTTTACGGCACTCCGAAAATGTTTGCTCGGTAAACATTAAATAAGCATAATATAGCAAATTCCCTTCCGAGCGGTCTGAAGGTGTGTAATCTCCATCAATACAATGTAGACCTTCGGATGTAACGATAACGGTGAAAATTGCTTGCCTGCCCTACTTCAATAAGTAAACAGGTAATTATTGTGACTATTCGGGGTGAAAAGGGTGTAATTTAGTGAAGGGAAAATGTGGATTTTCTTATATTATTTTGTTTTATTTGTTATTATTATTGGAACGTGCACAAAATGATAACGTGGAAACTCTTATTTATATTTGCACTATTATTTGCCTGCGACTTCGTCTATACTAAATTAGTATTTTCAGTATTATATTATAACTATTTATTATTTTTATATTAATTAATTATTTAAGAGAATTTCTCAAATTAGAAGCCGTAGGTTTATGATATTTTTCTTTAATGACATAAAATAAAATACAAAACATGAAAAGTACCTATATAAAAATAAAATAAAGGTTTTATTTAAATATCATCAGCAACAGTTACCTATGGTCCAATTACAAATAATCTTATTAAATTACAATATAAATATCGATATTCTTTGTGTCATATTTTATTAAGAATTCCTCAACGAGTGAAAGCCTTCTCCATTTTACTTTCGGGTTTCTCTGTCTTTCTTTAGCCTTGGTGATCCAATCTTTGCCGGCTATGACGATTATCTAGTCTATCGATCTTGGTTTGGGCACATACATATTAAATCATTTGGGTCTGTTTCTTTTTCTATTGTTTTATAGTCCTTTCCAAGCAGTATACTATAAGTCCATTTTTGTCTATTTATGCGTAAAATAATATTTTTTATGCATAAATAACACTAACTTTCTTTAACAATCGCGAACATATTCTTAATTAAAATTGCTTAAAAAATCCACTTAGCCCTGGCACTCTGAGATGAGACTCGACCTGACCTTTCGCAATTCGGGTGACTGCTCTAACCATAGAGCTCCTCAGGACCTAATAGGACTGTTGAATTTTTCAAGAACTTGTTATTTTTTCGGGCAAATAAAATAATAATAAACATGTTAATGTACAGATTAAAGCAAATAATGAGTTTTTCATTAGGCGTTTTGGCAGAGGATGTTATAACTTTATGTTAACTATAATCGCCCAAGCTTCACTTGTTAAACCTATTGTTTTACTACACAAAGAAAGAGGCTGGTGCAACGCATTTCACGATCAATGTCAAAGTCAGACTGACAGTTATTGTGAAATTTGACATAAACCATAACTTTAATTGGTCTTATGGTGCAATCTAGCCTAAGTTGAACATTCGACAATCGTTGCCGCTAACGACGCCTTTTGCCGACCCCTGAATTATTATTATGGAATTTCCATTTTTATTCGTAGACTCTTTTATCGTCTGTCTACGACGTTTTATATATCTATAAATAAAATACGAATAAAATTATCATATTTATATATGATTATCTTTTTGTAGCAATAATTTTATGAGGCTCTGCGGGCCACTTGAGATGCTTCCAGGGAATTAAGACGATTGCAATAATGTTTTAAAAACATAGCTTTTTTTATTCGAATTGGTTGTATTCCTATTCTTTTCCTCTAATGCCTAATGCCTATATAGCATTTTTTATAAGTAACGTTAACTTTCGTAATTACTTATTATTGGCAACTAATTTTTTTTAGATCGGAGTTGGCAGACTACTTTAGTTCTCTTTCCAACCTTTCCACAACTTAAGTTGAATGTAGAAAGAACGCTGTGTGAAAAGACCGCCTACGCCATTAAGCGTTATTATGTTATTTTTGTGTACGAGAGGCCTGGATAGATCAAGACGTTCCGAAAGGATATAGATAAAGATATGTTTCTAGATTGATTTTATATACTAATATTAAAGTACTGGAAGCGACATCATGCGCGGATGACATGAGCTATAATTTACACAGACGAACTCATAAGAAAACAGATAGTTTATATAAAATTATATAGAGGAAATAATTGATCATTTATTTGTTTGCAAAACATAGACTCGGAAATTACTGATCCGAATTTATCGTACAAATTGTTTTACCTGTGGGAAGAATTTTATTCCGAAAATCAGCATATAGAAGGATGAAAATGGGAGTGGAAGTAAAACGTTATCACAGTAATCATTGTTTACTATTCAATTTGTTATTTTAATTCTATCCGCGTCATGATATGAATTGATATCCAAATAAACAGTTCTCCAGAGACCACGCCGGCGAAGCCGCTGACGGAAAGCTAGTATTACAATATTTTTATAAGGAAAACTATGTAATTTTACTAATACTTACATGGTAAAGGTATAGGTTGGTATCACAGGATTTGTCCTTTTCAGCTGGTAGGCCGTGCTCGTCGGTGTCACCTAGAACAAAGAACATCATGTTATTACCTCATTTAAAAGATTCACTCAGTTGCACAAACATTCATTGAGGTTTAATGACAAGTTCAAGGTATAATAAAATTTAGAATTAAAATTTTCTAAATTTAAAATTTAGAACAGTTATTCGATCTTAAAGTCGTTAATTATTAAACCTTAATGGACGTTTCTAAAACTTGCCGTGAGTGAAGAAACGTATTCTGTAAAATTATAAGTGAACGACGATAGTCCACGAATTTAGTTTCTAATTAACATCCAGAAATAGACGTTGATTATTTTAGAAAAAACGAAATAAGTTTATTATTATTCAACCTTGTTAGAGGCCAAATTTCCCATTTATTTTGGTCACATTGCGAGCGTCAGTCAGATAACCTTCACAAGTTATTGTGGTGGGTAACATTGAAGGAAAAAGCTCCGGTTGTCGTTCACCGTGTTGTTGCTGTAACTAGGAGGTTCATTGTTTAATTTTAAAATCAATCGTAATCAAGATATAAAAGATATTCACGAACTTTTACGCTACATCTATTTGACATGTGATAGTGGTGGCCATTTTGTATTTCTAAAAGAAATGGAATTAACGATATCGTAAGTTTGGCGTTGTATGCTAACTGCCAATCTTTCGCCGGGTTTAGGTAAGTTTTTAATTATGTCTGTTGATCATTCAAACTCTTTGAAAGGAATTGTTCTATGTAACAATTATCTTAAGAAAACCCGAGCACTGAGAGGAAGAAAGCAGTAAAAGACATGAAAGATTACATCAGGGACACAATCTTCAGTAATGAAGAAAATGGCAAAGAAGAAATGAGGGCTGATGAATGACTGCACCGCCGAGCTCCTACCACCATACCATTAAATAGATAATTTTTAATAATAAAAATACAAATATTAGATGGGTGTTCACATACTTTTCTTAGATTCCGAAATACTTAAGCTACTTAAGTACTATACCCCATAATACGGGAGGTATCTGAAACAACGAAGGTACCGTAACATCCAGACCTGAGAAAATATAGAAAAGTCCATTTACTATATTGACTCAACTAGGAATCGGACCCGGGACCAGATGGCAACTCCTTGAAACCGGCGTACCATAGCCGGCTACGAAGGTCATCGATGTCGTCGAGAATGTTAAAGAACAGTATATTAAATGCCAGAAAATGTCGGCATATAAAAGTTTTGATAGTATTTATAGTAGTTTAGTACCTAGTTAGTATTTTTTCGTGAATAAATAAGCTATACCACAACGAATTTCGCGAAAATGTTCTTATTTAATTTTATAAATTGGCGTGTCTAACGCATCTACCTACATTGTTTTGATCAAAGCTGAGGACATGTACGTACGAATTCATATTCTTTTAGCTCAATATTATCAAAATATACTATTCCCAAAAGAGGCTAGCCTTGAAATGTCTCTCTTGCTAACGCTCCACAAATACAGGGGCGCAAATATTATGCTTGGCTCGTAGGACAGGCTTATGAATTAGTTATACTTATGTAGGTATTTATTTCACGTTGGGACGCCTAAAGGTCACAGGTTAAAATAAATAATGTACATTGTAATTAAGTTAGACTAAATTTTAAGCGTTTGCTAATAAATTTTAGACCGTTCACGTTAATTATTTAGTCTTTAAATAGGGCTTATTTAACGGTAACTTGAAATAAACGAAATTGAATTGTACCAATGTACATTTTGGGGAATCGATCACTACTGTTACTTACAGCCTAGTGACAATTTATAAAGTGAATGAAATGAATCAAAACTTGATAAATAAAAGGTATGTGCAGGTATACTGTAAAACTACATATTTCATTTGTCACTAATATAAATTACTCTTCATTTGGACCTCACACCTACGTTTACGTAGTATGAAAGATTTTGTGACGCGAACACGATTTTATCACGACATTGGGTAGAAAGAATCACTCAAACAAAGTATTTTAATTGGTGAAAACGTTTTATGACTCATAATAATGGCATGTTGACAACTTTATCAGAACGTCAAGTAAGTTAGTTTTATCTAACAGTAGTAAATGTTCAAAACAACAGAAAATATTCATCCAAAGTCATGTTTTGTCATGTCATGAAAATATAATATAGTTATCTAATTGAATTGCAGTTTATTAAAAAGGTTATAGATTTTTTGTGCATTCCAAAATTATTTAAAACTCTAGGGGTTACAGTATTTTGAAATTTATGGTGCTTTGGACAATATTGATTGTGTGAAGTGAAATACATATTTATTAAATATATGTCTCGTTTGCCTCACTGTGTAGCGTTGTGAGTTTAATATTATAGTGTGAGATAAATATTAGAAGTAATATGTATATTAGAACTTTGCTCCAATACATATGACTGTTATTAATTGCTTTTATATGCTATTATGATTTAATTATATTATGGTCGTTTGAGGTAGCTCGGTGGCGTAGTGGATAAGCGCCGCGGCCCGCGATCGTAATCGTTAAGCAACTTTCGCAAGGGTCGGTCACGGGATGGGTGACCAAAAATTATTATCTCGAGCTACTCCGTGCTTCATGGCCCATCCTCCTTAACCATCCATAAGGAAGGCCTGAGCCCCTGCAGTGGGGACGTAAAAGGGCTGGTGGTGGTGGTGGTGTATGGTCGTTTTGTGTAGATAAGTGCCAAATTTATCATGTTAAAAGAGTTATTCACAGGTACTGTCATTAATAAATAAATATGATACAAATGGTACTGGACGTCTTAGGGACTGTTGATATATCAATTTCGACGTATCAATTTCTTATTTAACCGACTTCAAAAAAAGGAGGAGCTTCTCAATCCGACTGTTTTTTTCTGTTTGTTACCTTATAACTTTTTACTGAGTGGACCGATTTTGATGATTGTTTCTTTATTTGATTGCTAATGCTTGCCGTGCTGTCTAATTTTACTTGAGAAAACCGTAAGTCTTAAATTTGCATGAGAATTGCGTGATTTTAACAAACAAACCCATAACTCAAAATATTACTAAAATGCATGAATTTAAAAAATAAAAAATCTTAAAAGCGGTCAATTTTTTTAAGAAACATTGAAGTTGGGCGGTTAATATTTAATTAACTACAGAAAATCTCAGCCCAAGTTCAAAGTTTCTTAAAAAAATTTAACCGCTTTTACGATAAGTATTATATTTCATTTTTTTTTAAAATTTGAATCGGTTCCATGTTTTTGAAGTTTTTATTTAACTAATAAAGACCAAATTTTTATATAATAATATGTTTTCTGTTTTTACATAATATTATAAAAGTATTTTGTTTATTTTAACCTTTTGAATACTTTTGTTTGTTAAATTGAATAATAAAGTTTAATCACTTTTATACTTTAAATTGGATTTATTAACTACATTCCCAAAAAATCAAAATCGTAGTTCATAATATATCAATAAAAATGCGTTAATATCAGAAAAACTATTATAACAACAAATGTAAGTGTAATTACTTCGATTGCCTACGTAGCAACTTTTAACGTACGATATATCGTTTCTGTGACAAGCAATCTAAAAATACTAAGGCATCTGAAAACATGTTAACCCAATTGTGTATGATTGAATACACAATTTACTTCGGTCGTGAAAGTCAGAGGTTGACCTTTGCAATCCACGATAACGTTGTACGCCGACAAATGTAGGTTTGTAAGGATATAATCTGATTTTATCATGAGAGAACTGAGACTGTTACTTCAAAGGGAGCGAGGGAGCGTAGTTTAGACTCACTTTGGCGGTTTATTGACTTGCGGTTTGGTGGCGGACTTCACCGTTGCTTGTGTAGATGTAGCAGTTATTGAGCCGCTTAAGGCTAAGAAAATTTAATTCACATTGAAATTTACGGTCACAGTGTACAATCTTCAGTACCCCAGTATACTATAAATTTGTATTTGTAACAGTGTAGTCAATACATTGAGTTGATTGAAATGTACTCAACGTTTAAAATAGTATTAATTATAATTACCAAACAAATTTATGTAGTTACGCAGTAGGCCTGCAATAGGTAGTTACGCATTGGAAGCAGTGGACTATGACATACTGTCTAGTTTAAGGCAACTTATATACCTGCCTACTTTAAACATGTATATGTTATGTTGGGCAGTTCAAATATGTACCTATAAAGTAAAGATGATTAATTACATCATATGATTCATTGCTTACACAACATAAGTATAGTTTTGTTTTTACTCATGATTTTTCTTAAAAATAGGTTCATATGTTGTGCAAATACTAAAATCATTGTAGATACACAATTTTCCATTCGTTCTTAATGGTGTAAGAAATGGAAGCAGTAGACGAAAAATCGATGATAGTCAAATATGCAGGAGGGAGATTCGAGCATTTTAAATGCGAAAAGCTGCTGAATAAATGGATCACCCGTTCTCGTTCAGCGCGTTCAGCGAGGTAAGGCGTCTTGAGTTATAATATTCGGGTAGGTTTTTTATTACCGAACAGCATTACTATTACAAAAACTTAAAAAAAAATTAAAAGAAAACAAGTCTGTTATTTTCTATGGAATTGTTCCATATTTTCGAGTTAATTGATCGACAAATACTCGTAAACTTGTATAGTTAACTCCAGTGTGATAAATATACTTTTAACTTCGTTATAATTCGCACGTTGAGAATGACAAAGTCACTAACCAAAAACGACGTATTTTTTACTTTTGACAACATTTTTCTTTGTTAAGTATAAACTTTAAAATGCAAAGATCCCTGTGAACGTAGCTTGCATAGAAACTGCTAGGTGGCTTAGTGACGATACGTTGTTTAGAGGGGCTGATTACAATTTCTTGAACTTTAAACGCTCCTTACTCAAAATCGCATTTTTTGCATTGTGTCACTATCGTTCTATTAATCGTCACAAACAGTTTTATTAACCGAAAAGCGGCTGTCCCACATCCCCAATGTTATTGAAAGACCTATCCAACGATGCCCAAGACTATAGGGAAAACGAAATGAAAAACGGTCATGCTCACTTAACATGTACGGGGGTACCATTAAAATATCTCTTTCGAAA